TAGGACATTCAAAAGCAGCCATGTATACAAGGGAATTTAGCCACATGCATGCTGGGCAAGATGCATGCTCAGAAAGATCTAAAACTTTAAGCTTTCATTTGTGTTGATCTCTAGATTCAAAGCAAGCTTAAATAAGTATTTAAGGACAGCTTCAGCACAAAGCCAATTTGCAAACTTGGCTAGGAGGGCTCCTGGCATTCAAGAAAATCTGTGTTAAAACATTAGCTAAACATGAGCTAAGGGAACTAGATTTCAGTGATCACATATAGCAAAGAACAGTTTTTGCAAAAATAGGTGGAACAGTGTCAAAACAAATGGAGTACTACAGTCCTCAACAATTAAAAAATAAACATCAAACCCCAAAGAACGGGGAGAATTTGAAATCTAGAGTTACTGTGTTATGTCAAATGAACAGTTTTCAACAAGAAGAAGTTACAGTAAACACAGAGAAACAGGGAAGCATGGCCCCCTTCAAAGGAACTAAATAAATTGTTAGAAACCATCCTTGAGGAAGCCCGGGAACAAAGACTTTAAAGTAACAATCTTAAATATTCTCAAAGATCTAAAGGAAAGCATGGACAAACAACTTAAGGAAATCAGGAAAGTTATGTAACAACAAAGGAGAATCAAAAATGAAATTTTAAAAAGAAACCAAACTAATTAAGGAGGTGTAAAGTACTATAACTGAAATGAAAAATTCGCTAGAGAGATTCAACAGCAACTTTGAGAAGGCATAAGAAAGAATACATGATTCTGAAGATAGGATGATTGAAATCATCAACTCTGAGGAGCAGAAAAGAAAAAAAATGAAGCAAAGTGAACAGAGCCTAAGGGACTTGTGGGACACCGTCAAAGGAAAAATCATACATGATGTGGTAGGTCCAAGAGAGAACAAATGTACAGAAAGATTATTTTAAGAAAATAATGGCTTAAATTTTCAAAAGTTTGTTGAAATATATGAATCTACAAATTCAAGAAGGTGAACAAACTTCATGTTGGATAAACTCAAAGAAACTCACCCTGAGACACGTTATAATGAAACTATCACAAGGAAAAGAGAAGCTTCAAAGCAGCAGAAGGGCAACAGTTCATTACTATTTCGTGTCAGTCTCAGCCTCTCAATAGTGATGTTATCAACTAGGAAACCCTGAGGCACTCACCTGGGCCTGTACTAATTGTGGCAACTCCCACAGACATTTCCCTGACCAGAGCCAGTGTTGACATGGGACTAGTTCTTTTGATTTTTATTATGATTTCAAGACACACGCCGCAACAGCTATTGGTGAACTTTGAAAAAACAAGCTTTAGCACACATAGGTCCTGGAGGGTACACAGCCCACCTGAAGCCACCCAATGTGGTCACAGATCAAGAGAATGGACCTGGAGTTTTGAATTTATTGGGATCAAAGGTGAGTTGCCTACAGTTTCATAGGTTCACTCTTTATTGGTGAATTTAAAACATAAGAGTGGGAATTTGGGCACAGGAAGGGGAAAATAAAGTCACTCAAGTCATCAGTTATCTAGGTTACCCAGAGATTTCTAAAAGGGGAACTTCATGGATGAAGGAGGCCTGACTCCTTGTCTAGTTGTTTGGCTAATGGCTGTGTCATATAGGTGGCAATATATTTATTTGAGATGGATATCTTTGAAATAGATGCCTCGGCAATCGAAGCTTAATGTCTGGCACTTACACTATAACTACGTATAAGTAATCCTTAATGAAATTATCAGGTGATTTCTATTCAGAAATCTTGGAGGCAAGAAGGCATTGGGAATATATAAACCACTAAAAGAAAAAAATGGTCAACCTAGAATTTTATACCCAGCAAAACGCTCATTCAATAATAAGGGAGAAATTAAGACATTCACAGATAAACAAAAACTGAGGGAGTTTATTACTACCATACATGCCCTACAAGAAATGCTAAAGGAACTCCTTTAGATGGAAATGAAAGAATGCCAGTTAGTAGCTGGAAGCCATGAAGAAATAAGATCTACAGTAAAAGTGAGTATGTGGGCAAATATACGAGCCATTGTTATTGTAATTTTGGTTTGTAACCTTTTTTCCCAACAAATTTTGAAAGACAGATGCATAAAAAAATTATGAGTGTTTCTACATGCAATCTATAAAGATGTAACACCAGTAACATAAAGGAGAGAGGTGGAGCTGTTTGAAAGTAATATTTTTGTATGTGATTGAAGTTGAGTTGGTATCAATTCAAATTAGAATGTTCCAACTTTAGGATATTATATGTAATACTCATGGTAACCACAATAAAAATATCTATAAAATAAATGCACATAAAATAAAATGAAAATGGAATCAAAATGTGTCACTACAAAAGTAAACACAAATGAAGGAAGTGTTGGGGAAAAATGAGGAACAAAAAAGCTATGACACACAAAAAACACAGCAAGATAGCAGAGGTAAGTCCTTGCTTATCAGTAATTACTTTCAATGTAAATGGATTAAATTCTCCAATCAAAGGGTGGAAATTAGCAGAATGAATTTTAAAATGATCCAACTGTATGCTGTTTACGAAAGACTTACTTTAGATCTAAAGACACAAATTTTTTGGAAGTGAAGGGATGGAAAAAGATATTCCATGAAAATAGTAACAAAAAGAGTGTTGGGGTGGCTATGCTAATATCAGATAAAATAGACTTTAGGCCAGAAACTGTTACAAGAAACAAAGAAGGACATTATACTATTGATAAAAGGGTCAGTCAATTCACCAAAAAAATAACAATTATAAACATACATGCTAAACATCAGACTTTAAAATATGACCAAAAAATTGACAGAATTGAAAGGAGAAACAGATAATCCTACAATAGTAGTTGGAGACTTCAATACCCCACTATCAATAATGGCAATTAGTCAGAAGATTAATAAGGATATAGATCATTTGAACAAACTACAAACCTATTAGGCTAAACAGATATACACAGAATTCACCAAACAATGGCAGAGTACACATTTTTCTCAGATGCATATGATCATCCTCCAGGAAAGACTATATGTTAGACCACAAAAAAAGTGATAATAAATTTTAAAAGAACGAAATCATACAAAATATCTGCTGATTGGGAATAAAGCTAGAAAACCAAAACAGAAAGAAAACTGCAAAATTCACTAATGTATATAAGTTAAATGACACACTTTAAAAGAACCAGTGTGTCAAAGAAGTCACAAGGGAAATGAGAAAATACCTTGAGAGAAATGAAAGTGAAAACATAACATTATCAAAACTTATGGTGGAAGCCGTACTGAGGAAAATTTATAGTTGTAAATATAAACATTAAAAAAGAAGACAGTTCTCAAATCAATAATTTGGGGGTTTTTTGTTTGCCTGTTTTTGTAATGTACAGCCATCATTTGTGGTGACCTGAAGGGATCTGTAGTGGCGGCTCTTCAATCATGAAGTCTGTGAAATAGAATCGATGGGCACCATACTAAGATACCTCTTGAGATACATATATCTATTATATATGAAATTCTGGGTCCCCTGGGCAAAAAACACAAGTCATCACACCAGGAATTCAGATGCTCTCTCTCAGTCCTTGATATATCCTACTTTTATGGACAGGAGGCTACAACTGAAGGGAAGGCTGGGTCCCCTTGACAAAATTTCTCATAACTCAGTCACAAATTTCTATAAGTAATCCTTCCCCCAAAGTCCCCAAGGGAGACCTGTGACCATATACCAGCTGAATCGCCCTCAAACTGAATCTTCAATGTACGTAGCATCATTGGAAGTTATGGCTGCTGCAACTACAGTTTCATTTAGTGGTTCTGAAATGTGTTGTGAAAAGGAATCTTCCCTGGGGGAACGAGTTTAAAGAGGTATATTTAGTAGCTCACTTCGTGGAGAAGAGAGCCATCCTGAGTTTAGACTTATACTGATTCATGTCCAATAACTCAATGAGTTGAAGGGTGGAAGGGGCCAGACAAGAACAAGACTGGAATAAGATGTCTGGAGGAGACAAGTGTGGATGAAATTCTAGGAATAGGTATTGAATGAGGTTTACAAATGCTTAAAAGAGAATAGGACATTAGAGGGACGAGAACAAATGAAGTTTGAGTATTTATTCCTTTGGCTGTCTATGCTGAGCCACGTAATGGCCATTAAATGTTTCTCTTCTAAGTGTGGCCTTTTCTGCCAAGTTCCAGTCATATTACTTACCCTCAGTATAAGCCTGGTGGTGATAATGGTTACCCATGTTTTCAGAGCCCTGTTTTTCAGACTTTCCTTAAGTGTCCTTTTGTTTCTTGACAATTGACACCTGTTTCTTGAGGTGACCGTGACAATCCTGATCATAAACTCCTTGGGGATGGGGAATTTAATATCTTTTATTTGATGTTGATGCACCCAGAATAATGTCTGTTGCACAGCAAGTTTTCAGTAAATATTTATTCAATGAACATATATAGCAACCACTTTCTCTCCATTAGTGATCTTTATGGTAAACTCCATTATGATGGATTTAATATAATATTGATTTAATATAGTTTGACCAGCACTTTTGTGCTTGTATGTGTAATTCATTAAAGAATGACAAAGAACTATAAATGTTAGCAAAAGTGTGCACAGAAATCCAAGATTAATGTAATTTAATGAACAAAAATTTGTTAAAACATTAATAATATTCAGCAGGAAACGATGCTGCTGTAAAAATACCAACAGCTTCCCTATATGCATCCACACCTGCAGTACCTTTCTTCACCCCTGATGGAATCCCCACACTGGGCTCCAGGGCGCCAATTCGGGGCTCAGTGTTTAATGGAATTGTTGGCTGTATAGAAACAGGGTAGAGGTCCCAGGTTGAAAAACTATAAAATTATAGTTTTATAACTATGTAATTTTAATCCTAAATACCTCAATCATCCTTTTTCCCCCCCAAGAATCAATTTTTCTATATAACTCCAAAATTTTTCCACCACTTCACCTAAGTAATGGTAATTTTAATATTATCAATATCAAATTCATATTCAAGTTTCCCCAATTGTCTCCAAATGACTTATGAAAAAGCCGCTATTTCAATGTAGAGCGAAGAGAGGACCAGCCACCCTTTGCATTTGGCTGTTAAGTTCAAGTTTAACCTATTCTCGTCGGGCTTTGAGAAGGCCTGGGCAGAAGACTTTTAACAACGCGTGACCTTAAAAGCGGACGCGGAGGTCTGTGGGAATTGTAGTCCCGAGTCCTTTTGTTTCACCGCGCGGCACCCTGGGAAGGGGCATCTGGGCTGCTTCTGCGCGTGTGCAGCCGTAGCCCCGCCTCCTCACTCGTCCCCTGTGGACTCAAGGGAAGTGGTTTGGCAACCTAGGGGTCTACTCGGAAAATAAGGGGTGCGCACCCGGGGTGAGGGTGCGGGGAGCCAGCTGGGAGGGTTGCATTTGTGCCTAGAGATAGGAGCGGAAAGTCTTTGGGACTCCCTCCCACCAATGCCAGTGTAAGCGCCCGGTCGGGCCCTCATTCTGGGGAAGGCCAGGCGGGGGGACCCCGGCCCTCGGGCCCCCGGGTGCAGGTCAGGCTGTCTGGTTAGGAGCAGGTGCTCGGTGCGGGTCTCAGTGTGTAGGGACCGTGTGCCCGGCCCCGCCTGCAGCCCGACGCGGGAAAAAAGCCCGGGTCGGCAGCGGGAGGGGCGGGGAGTGCATTTATAGCGCCGACGGTGACCATGGATCTGCGGTGAGGACCCGAGCTCTGGAGTCAGAAGGGCCCGGGTAAATTCCAGCTCTGTCACCTTTAAGCAGGGGCGACAAAAAGAATCTGGGTAAGAGTCTGATTTCTCATTTGAAAATGACACTAATAATGACTGTTGCGTGGCGTTGTTTTGAAACGTAGATCTAAGTCATTACTTGTAGAGTAATGGACTTGTACAGACAAGTGCCTGATCCTAAGCACCGAGTAAGTGACAACTGCTATTCTAGTTGGAAGGCACTTTATTCTTCTCATTGGGTGACTTAATGTAACCTCACAATCACTTTAACAAAAACCGAGGCTCAGGTTGGTAGAACGATGTGCCCGGGTCACTAGCTGGCTGTGAGTGAGTTTGGATTCAAGGGCAGGCGTGCTTTATTTCCAATCTCAGGCTTTGTCTGAATATCACACCTGCCTAAAACCGTCATTGTGGCCTTCACAGCACTTGGCAAAGTGGCCTGTCCCCAATTTCCAGAAATACAAGGGAGAGTGAATGTGTACACAACCCTCCCATGTGTCAAGTGTGCTCTGGGATTTCCATTGTCTCTTAAGGTCCCTTGGGTCAGACAGAGGTCCCTGGTCCCTTATGCACTGTCAGGTTGTCTGTCTTTGTCTGATTTATAATGAATATCAAGAGTCAGCCTTTCGCTGCTAAAATGAATTTGTTTCTCGGATCCATGCCCCAATTGCCTTGAAATAAAGCGACCCTTGAGAGGTAGGAAGCAGGGAATCTGTGAACTGGAGTCTTACCTGGAAGAGAGCAATCCTATGACCCTATATCTCTCTCCAGAGCTTCAGAGCAGAGGCAGAAGAGCCCGGAAAGGAGCAGATCCTAGATTTGAACGATCAGAAGCATTTCTTAATCCCCCTGCCCAGAATGAGCCAGTCTTGGTGATGATGCCACCTCCAGAAGTCACCAGCCTGTATGACAGTCGGGGGTTCGGGCCAGCCTTGAGAAGAGCAAGGTGAGCGGACTGCTCAGAATAGGCCACTTTGATGGAGAGCTTGTGAGGGTGAGGCCTAGGGATAAGGGATAACCGGGCAGAGGGAGGAAATGCTGTCTCGACGCCCCTTAAATGGCTCCCACTCATTACAGATGCCCCTGCCACATGTGACAGTAGTGACATCCTGACCTCACAGGATCCCAGAATGATGATACATGAAAGGTTTTCCAAGGGCATCTACTTCTAACTCTTTTAAAAATCTTTAAAGATATTGGGCCTGAAAGGTTCAGTGGCTTGTCCAGGGAAACCCAGTTTGTTTGTGACAAAATCAGGAGGGAAACAGTGCACTTCACTGTCTCACAGGTAAGTCACCAAAAGCATTTTATTAAGAGGGCCTTTCAACAAATACATCACAGCTGAAACAAACAATTAGAATTCCCTGCCTTAAAGCATCCCATCTCATTTACTAGGCTTTCTGTGGATTGTTTATACCAGGGGGTAAGTGATGTTACTGAGAAAAATAGATAAATGATGCATATGAGTATTTTTCTGCTAGGTTAGGTTAATTTTAATGAAAGAACAGTGTTTTATCCTTTGGTATATTTAATTCAACTAATCTCCTGTTGTTTTCCTTTGTGTTAATCAGAGGGACACACGCATTATCTTTTAAAACAATCAAGAAACGTACATTCACTCAGTAAGAAACTGTAGATTTAAGCTTCACGGTCATCTCAGAGTCACACAAAGACAAGTGGCGTCGCCTGTACGTGGTCTCTCTGGTGCCTTTTCCAGGCCCAGAGGACCCTATGCCTATAGGGAAAATGATCCCCAACTGGGGTGCTGAAATTTGGGGAGGTGGATCTAGGAGCTGTAAGGCAGGCCCAAATCTCATGACACCTGTCTTTCTGTCTCCTCAGCTGAACCACAGTTCTCTACTCTCCCAAGAGCAGAAAATGAACATACTTCAGGTGAGCCCTTTAATCATCCCCCGCTTTATACTGTAAAGGATTTATAAGGTTCAGCAGGATCCATGCATTAAATGGAAGAAGAGAAATAGATGAAGTCAATCTTGAGGGGAAATATACCCAGGTTTACTGTTAACCGTTAGTTTGCCGTCAGCTTTTGGTAGGTAACCTTTGTCAGGGAAAGTAGGTTCCCTCCAGGTACCAGTTTGCTCGGTTTTCACGCTTGGTCATGAATATGCATTGAATTACGTTGTTTGCATCTTGTATATCTGTTGGAGTAAAGTTATAGCTTATTTCCTTTAATCTATAAATACTGTAAACAGTAAAATGGATTTTCTAATGTTAACTTAAATCCCTGTGTAGACCCTAACTGCTGGTAAGTGTGGTAATTTGCTCTTACGTACCTTTGTAAGACTTTTTGCTAATACTGTATTTAGGATTTGTATTTCTGTACCCACAAGTTGGATTCGACTATATTTTCTTGTTTCTCTGTCCGATTGTGGTATCATGGTCATAGTCTCATAAATGGAAATGAAGCATCTTCCTGCTCCTTTTCTTTAATAATAATTTAGATGAGAAAATTGTGTTACATATAGATTTTGTGAAACTCATTTTTAAATTTAGGCCTTTGAAGACTTTTTGCATAAAGACTTTGATTATTTAATCTATTGGTCGTAAGTCTGTGCTGAATTTTTTTTTTCTGAGTATAACTTTTGTTATTACATTTTCATAGGAAATTGTTCATTTTTATTTATGTTTTAAATGTGTTTTTATGAGCTTGTTGATAAATTCTCTTAGGATTTCGAGGTCTTTATCTGTTATATCAATACTTTCCTTTTTTGATCAGCTTTAAAATTTCATTTTAGTATAGAGGCTGCCAATCAGAGAAGGACAAAGACTGGCCCAGTCTAAAGCTGAGAATTTCTGGGTCTGAGGGTCTTAGTATTTTGTGCTGCAGTGGAACCTAAACATTGGGCACAGAGGAACATATACTTGCCATGTGTGTGCACTCTGCCTCTGCATACCCCACTGTCAGCACCGTTTGCTGACAAGAATATGCTTTCTCCACTGAATGGCTTTGGCACCTCGGACGGAAATTAACTAGTAACCTATGTACAGGTCTGTTTCTGGACTCTGTTCACTTTTGATGGTCTTAATCCTTTTTCTAAAACCACGTTTTCTTGATAAGCGCCTCTTTACAATAACTCTGGAAATCAGATAATATGTGTCTTCCAACTTGGTTCTTTTTTTTTTAAAGTGTTTTGGATATTCTAGTCCTCTGATTCTCTATAGAAAGTTTTAAAAATCAGCTTATGTATCTCAGGAAAGCCAGCTGAAATTTTGATTTTGATTGCACTGACTCTGTAATATAGATAAATTTGGGGAGAATTAACATCTTGATCACAGTGAGTCTTCTAATTCATGAACACATCTCTGTGGGGGGTTTTGAGAGTTTTTATTTTTATTCTTTGGAGTCAAAAGTATAGTTTTGACTTACAGTTTAAAAGAATAACTCTTCTACGTTTTGAAGATAGACTCTAATAGGGAAGGAGTGAAAGGAGGAACAATACAGGAGGCTGTTTCTACGATCCTAGCAAGAAGTGATGATCATGACGGTGTTTGTTCCCTTGAGGTGATCAGATTCTGGATGTAATTTAAAGCAGAGCCAACAGTCTTGAGAGTGTGTTTTTTCCACAACCTTGCAAATAAGAGTGTGCCATCACACTTTTGAGTTTTTTACCAATGTGATCGAAAAATGATGTATTTGGTTTTACAAGCTTTCCTCTTCTCATGAGTGAGGTGGAACTTTTTTTTGTTTGTAATCGATTTATATTTCTTTCTTGTTGATCTGTTTGTCCCTTACTCATTTCCTATTGATGTGCTGATTTTAATTACTATATCCAGTATGTCTTTATAGCCCTTTTTTAGCAATATAAATTGCAGTTTTCCTAGTTTTTGTATTTTTGCCTTGCTCGTGACGTTTTTCTTTTCTTTTCTTTTTTTTTTATTCACTAATATATTATATTTATTTGTTGGTAGGTACGTTACGTTTTTTACGTTTTTTTGTTTGGTAGTTTACCGTTCCGGTAAGTTAAACTAACGTACT